TTTCTGGCTCCACAGCAGTGTCTGCAGACACGTACGTCAGGGAGGGTATGGAGGGTGTTGGGCAGAACTGACTCAGGCCCACAAAGAGCACTGAGGGGATTGCATAGGGACGGTTTGCTTGCTCTTCGTTCTTTGCATCTTAAAGCTGGGCTGCAACAAACACTACGACTTGGCATGAAAAACTTACATAACATGACTGTTATGAAAACCCAAATCTTTGTAGTAATTTCAATAGTGAGGATAGCAAGCAAGGATACAACTTTAAATGAGGTTGCCAGTGGCAATATTTCTGGGGTGTGCAGAATAGCTGTAACAGGACATGAAGATAAATGCAGTAATGACACTGGTCTCTGTGCCTTTCTGTTGACATTTTGTTTTTGAAAAAGCAAGTAGGCAAACAACTAGCTGCTATAATGGGAGACCTTTAACTGTTTATTACCCGTTTATCTAAGCAGCACATAGTCCCTCAAAAAAGCACTCTTAGGTGCTGCATGTTAATGTTAGCATACAATTTCCCAAATAAAAAACTGCAGCAGATGCCTAAAGTGGACCATTCTGCTGAAAAGACCATTGTAGATGTGGTTTCTGCACTGCTGGAGGAACACTGGACACCATGGCAAAAATTCAAAGAGAGTAGGCACTCAAGAATACATAGCTGGCCAGAGGCTTACTAAACAGGACAAGAGCATATAACACGACTTTTCTTCATCAACGGTTAAAAATCACCAGTGGTTACACAGCTGGAATGTGGCATTCATATCTTGACATGCAGAACAAAGTCTTGGAACTGGACATTGATATTGATGACTTTTGGCCTATAGGTGGGCAAATAAACTGGCCAATGGGGTGGGTTCTCTCAAAGCATGAGCTGTCGGGACAGATAGTTTGTGGAAACGTAGTTACTCTAGCAACAGAGACACATGAAGTAAAGAAGCATGGAGCATGGAATACCTAATTCTATATGCATTTTTGGCAGATGTATGTTATACTAAAGATTATTCAGAACCATATGTTGGACCCTGCCATCTGCTGAATTTGGTTACAACATCTATAAAGCTGGTGTGGAAACACACAAAAAGAAACTGACTTTATGAGAGAAACTGCCAGCGGCTTTGTAACTACAACTGTCTCCCACAGAAAAATTGCCTTTTTTATTTTGTGAAATGGATAACCTTTCTATACAAAAGTATAATAAGGTTAAATTCCAGCACTCAGAGCTTAATTTTATCTCAGGTCCCCATTAAAATGCTTCAGTACTTGATTAGAGAAGGGCATGAGCAACCTAGTCTACTAAGATATGCTTTGGGTGGGGAATTGGAGCAGGAACCTTCTGAGGTCCTCTTCAACCTGAATTGTTGTAGGATCCAAATTATTACATCCATGCAGATGCATGCAGATGCATGAATACAGAAGTTTCTTTCTAAGTCAAATATAGTAAGGAAAGAGATGGATCTGCCAGTCATGAAAACAAACAGTGGCATACAGAAAGAAGAGGCAAAAGAGTTTTATTAGAAAGGTTGTTTATTTGGTAGAAAGTTTGTTTGGAAATATATTTAGAAAAAAAGTTATTCACCCTGCATCCAGCCAAGCTGCTGTTGAAATACCCAGTCTGGCAACAGCTCCTCACAAGTGAGTGGGAGGCTTTTTCGTTCTCTCTTCAAATGCAGTGCCTTCTCGCTAAGACATTGATACCTACTGTAGTTAGAAAATCCTCTTGAATTTCTATTCTAATAGAGACCTATCAATTTATGCTTTGTATTCTGCTGGAATCATGTTCATGTTGGCATGCCTTGAAAACAAAGGTAATTTTTGTTTAATTAAATAACTTCCCCTGAATTGTCTTGGGCAATAATGCCTTGAGTCTTGCTGTCTGGCCCATCAAGAAAGAATCCTCTTGTGCAAGCAGTAGTTGCTGCATTGAAAACTAATCTCCAAACTATTAGGAATGAACCAACACAAAAGAAAAACGGTATTGTTTGTTTCAAAAATAGTCATGAATTTTGTTTTAATGTGAATAAAACCAAACTCTTAAGGCTGCACTTCAGGAGTTAATGCTAGGCCTTGAACTTACATAGCCTGAGATACCGCAACTGAGCTCTGCTCCCCTGATAGAAAGCAAGGGAAAAGGCTCGTGTGTTTGAGACTGCATTTTTAGCCCAAACTGTAGAACAAAATCCAACAGGACATAAGAACTCACAGTAACCTCCCATGTTCTGTTCCAAGGGTGAAGTACCCACCTGTGACTTGTCTTTTCTACTAAAACGTGGCACAGAAAACTGAAACAAAAATCAATGTACTTGTGAATGTTCAGAGGCAGCAGAAGAAGGAACACTCGCCTGAGATGCCACATTGGCACGGTGGGCACTGAGCAAGTACCTGACTAACTCAGAAACAGCCCCCAACAGGCTCAGTAAAAGAAACACCTGTGTTGTAAAGGTGAATTGGGCACTTAAGGAAATTATTCCAGAAGGACCTGAAGAATTTATGAACCTGCTGCTTGCACAGAGGAGTTCATTCTCAACAGGTTTATCTGAAACTCTCTCATTGGCAGGTTCAAGTTGTAGGCCCTCTGTATGTTGTTTGTGCTCCCAGTCAACTTCTCTCATCTCTTACGCCCTGAAAATTGTCTTCTAGTTTAGAAGGGATGCCTCAAATTCAGGTTCTTAATTTTCAGCTACGAAGCTCACTGAAATTATTGACTTACCCTGGACTTCTGGGATGACGAATAAAATACTAATGGGCAAACAAGAAAAATAACTTTTGAGACAAACAGATAAATCATTTCCCACATCAAAACATTTATTAACTTTATATAGTTAGTTGGTTTCTTTTCTAAGGTTTCTTTCTTTTCCTTCCTCCTTTTTCCTTTCCCTGTCTCATTTATTGTACCTTGCTGTGAGATTTTCTTTGCAAGAATGAGTTTGAATGGACCCTCATGAAAAGACAAGGGCATCGTCCTGGATTTGTATAGTACAAAGATAGAAAAAAAAGAGAAAAAGCACACCACATGGAAACATTCACAGCTGAAGATGCATAAACAAACAGCCAGCATTTCCTCACGGGCACAGGCACTTAGGGGAATAAATATACAACGAAACTCAAGTCCTGCCACCTTAACCATGTTATAATAAAGCCTGAGAATAGGTTTGCCCACCTGCTGCTGTGTGACCACTCGGGTATCTTTAGGGTTTTCAGCAGCTGGGAATAAATTGTTGTGCTGCCTGTGCAATTTTTCATCTGACAGGAGAGGTGCTTTGCCTTTGCAGTGACGTGGAATCCACAAGCAGATTTCACTCACATCGTATTTCCAAAGGTGTTACTAAAGTATCCCAGCTGATTACTGAGAGAGCAAAGCGCTGCTCTGTGTTTTGAAGCCATTTCTAACTGGCTAACTTGCATTGTGCATTTGTGTTGTGTAATCGATACCCATCATGTGCTGACAGCTGGAGGTTTGCAACTTTCTTTGGTTTCATCTCTCAGGATTTTTACGTCTTTCACATCTACAACCAGACTTGTTAAGAGCTTAAGGCATAAATTACCTGGGAGAGACTAGGGGAAACAAAATTCAAAGTAGAGCTCTTCCTTCACCAAAACCAGAAAAACAAACCCCCACTGACCAAAACTTGACAAAAATACTGTACTTGGTTCATTCCAAAGCTAGGAATATGGTTTCAAAAACAGTTCAACCAAACTCCACATACAAGTGAATTTGATTCAAAGCCCACTAAAGTGAAGGTGGGCTTTTCATTGGACATAAACATTTTGGTGCCGGTTTTGATACTGTATGAGATCCCTATCATCTGCATGGTTTTATATTTAACTGTGCCCACAGCTGAGGTACAAAGTACCTATCCCAGATGCCTAACCACCAGAGCACATTAAGTTAATGGGTCAGTATCAGAGCAGCCCCTTGATGTGTTGTGCTATTGTTACTTGGTTTTATGCACAGCTAGCTTTGTTTCCTGTGGGTATTTTGCTTGCTGCCAGGAGCAGTGAATGAATCACTTAGGCTGAGCTACGAACCACAGCTCCAAAATGAAACAAGGATCCTGCACAATAGCGGCACCTGATCTAATCTTTGCCTCTGTGCTGATAGGAAGTCAAGGTAAATTCATGTTGAATGTCTAAGTCCAATCAGCAACTGATAAGGCCTCTTTTAACAACCTGGATCCACTACAACTAGTGATGATACCAACCAACACGGTAGTCATCCTATGTTGTTTATAATGTCTATAATGTAGCAATGAATACATAGATTTGTGACCTGGCTGTGTCACATCAATGGCTGTTATTTGTTTTCCTATTCCTGTCTTCAGAGGTGACCTTTAACAAAGCAGCAGAGGCTTTTTTTTTTTTTAAGAGCTTCTGTTCTAAGAAAAAGGAGTGGGGAGGGTAGAGGTGCAGCTAGGATCTGTAGGGGGAGACAGGAACAAATAGAGGCTTCATAAAATTTGAGAAATCTAGGCTAAATATGTGGGAAACTTCACACATTGCTTTTGAAAGAGCTGCTCAAAACCCCAGCTTTAAAACAGACAGGCATCAGAGATCAGATCTTAGTAAGGATGGGAAAACAAATGCTTTTCCTCCTCACTAGCTTAAATTTGAAACATTCATTTTGTCCAACATTTCTGTTGCCCTAAGGTGAGGACTTCTGTAAGCAATGTACAGGAGAGTAGGCAGTACAGCCATTTATATTGGTGTGAGAGTTCTTCCCTAAGAATGATTAAGGAGAGTGGACAATCCACAACCCTCCACTGGAATCCTCCACTCCCCTCCCACGTGGTGCATGTTGGTTAGTTCCAAGTATATATTAAATAGGGTCTGCACGTACATAAGTTTATTTTTTAAGAAACTTTTTTTTTTTTTTAAAGAGAGTTATTCTTTGTCTCCCTGGAGGCACAGGATGCCCAGTGTGAGCAGCACAACATCTGAGTCTGCACACCGTCTCTCTGCCCAGTGGCAAGTTCTCTGGGCTTTGTGTCTGGAAAGGCATGAACAGATCACAGCAGTTTCGGGTTGTCGTTTAGCCGAAGGCTGGAATACATTCCCACGTGCCGAACCAGGTTTGGTTCCACCACGTAGGCGTTCTCCCCTTTAGTGCGCAGCAGCGAGTAGAGGGCAATATCCTTAGCAAAACCCTGGCGGCAGTGCAGCCCCTTCAGGTAACCTAAGGCACGTTGGGCAGAAGGAGCAGAGAAAAGCATGGCAGGCGTGCAGCACTCGGTGACCGGCACGATATTATACAGAGTTGGGGCCAGCCGGCGCAGCTCCAGCATGTAATGTCGTCCCACCAGCTCTGACAGAGCCATACTGTACAAAGCAAAGAACAAGACAATGGGCCAACTGAGGCTGGGTCGTCCAGTTGCCCAGGAGTACACACAGTTCAGCACAGGCCCCAGAAACATGCCTACACCTAGCCACTCGAGGATTCTCATGGGTTCGGGGTTGATGTAGCGCTGAAGCCTCTCGGGATGGTAAAGCTTGAAGTAGAGTGCATCTCTGAGGTATGGTTTGGAGAACCGGGCCAACAAGAGGTGCTGCAAGACAGCGAATATCTCCTCCTCTGGCACAGCATCATCTTCTACTATGAGAATGTATTCTGGGTTGTAGACCAACAGCGACTGCTCAAGGCAGAAGACATAGTCCTGCTTCTCCTTCTCAAACTGGTTCACTCTGGGGTCAGGGTTCTCCCCAGTTTTATCACGACTGACCATAGGAAAGAAGCTGCTCAGCAGCTTGACATCCTGATGGCTACTGGGGTCTGACTCCACATTACAGAGGAGGATGCGGTGGCTCTGGCAACGTGCACCACATTTCTGGAGGAGGCGGTGGAAGTGGGAGGCCACTTGCAAAACATAGTGGAAATCATTCCGTCTCTGCACAGTGATAATGGTGATCAGCAGCAAGGGCTGGAAGGCGTCACTGCCAGAGGCCTCAGAGGCGTTTGGTATCTGCAGCTTCTCAAAGTAATGGAGGGCAGCCTGACCCTCCTGCTGGTTCTGCTCCAGGAATTCCTGGCTCATGGGGTTCAGGTGCCAGCGCCGCAAATAGAAGTAAGAGTGGAGGAGCCGATGGCAAACCAAAGGTGCAAGCACACCGAATGTCACCACAGTCAGTGTGAGGAGATGGATAAAAGGACTGGACCAACGGCACCACCTCCCATAGAGCTGCCAGGCTTGGTGTAACATGGCTCCTGCAGAAGGAGGGCAGCCCTGCTCTATTCATGCCCTCATTCCATCACTTGCGATGCATCCTCCCTGGATTGCAAGGTATCATCGGGGCAGTGCTTGCCAAACCTGCACAATTTGTCCAAGCCTAGAGAGGAATAACAAAGATGGTTAAGGCCATGATTTGAGAAAATGGAAAGCTGAGGGCTGGTCACTGAGTAAGCCAAAATAAAAGGCCCCTGAGGAGTCCCTCAGGTGGGCATATCACAGAATTGTCATGGGAGGTTGAGGAACGATGAGCTAAAGCTGGTTTCCACCAAAGTGCCACTAAGGCCTTTTCATCATGTAGGACCTCTGATCTGGCTTACTAGATAGGACTTTGTTGTGTTTGTTACTGTACTTGAAATGCATAACAGGCAATGTGGATACAGGATGTGTGGAAATCTGTTTCTGTTGAAGGCAGAGAACTTAGATACCACTATCTGGTCACAGTGACATAGTAAGAGTTGGGTCATAGCCAAGAATCAAAGCCAAATCTCTTCTCTCTTAGCCTAGCACATATTTGAGAGACAAACTTTTACCTCTGTGGAATGACACATGCTTCCCTTCTGTTGCTCACACTCTTCCAAACCCATGCTTTTCACTTTACTCCCCAGAGTGTGAAGCAAGATAACAAAGATACCAATTTACTTCACTAAAGCCATGTGTATGCTAAGCGTAATGTTTGTGTGTCTCTCTCAGACGTCTCCTCCTCTCTAAACCCTGTGAAATACACAGTCACAGCAAAATTAAGAAGTTGCACTTGAGCGATTGACTCATGTTTGTTATTTAGAAGTTTGTAATTTATAAATATATGCCTTTAATTTAAAACTGTAACATTTATATAAATATAAATATATTTTGTATATACACTTTAAGCAAACATCCACTTTCACAAAAATTAGATCTTGCCATATTTGGCTTTTCTGTTCTGCTTCTCTGGGCTGCCATGAACACCTAACATCCTGGCTGTCAGAAGTTTACACAAAAATCAGGGCAATTAGGCTGTTCAGATTAATTCTTTTGTGCCAGAAACTCCCCTTTTTAATCTGCTGCTTGACTCTCCTTTTTACTTTCCATTCCCTCTCCTTATGAACTGAGTTATTTGTGCACCCCCCGCCCCCAGCTGACTGACAGTGCCCCCATTCAGTGGAGAGTTTCTCCTATTTTTCATCTTCTGCCTTCACCAAGTTCTGATCATCAAACAGTGCTCCCAGAACAAAACGTTCCCCTTTTTCCTTCTGCACTGTTTTTTGAAGCAGTCTAAGCAATGATCTGTGGATGGAAAGAAATCAGGGCTGTGGCTTTTCTTCTCTGTCTCAGAAGAATAGACCACGGAGAAGAAATGACTCAGAGGACACTAAGCAGGGTCTAATTCTGGGACTACTTCAAAACTGCCCTCATTACCTTAGTCACATATTTGTTGTATTCACCATTTAGAGAACCACTTCCTATTGCCTTATGGGAATCTGATGATCTTCTGTGAAAGGCCTTTTACTAAGATTAATGGAAAATATACAAGAGTTATTGCAAATATTAGTTAGAAACCAAGCACTTCACGCTGTGAGATCTCACACTATCCTTGGATAGACTGTGGCATCAATGTTGTGCTATCTTATGTTTCATGAAAACACAAAACTTTGAAGATTTAGTGTAATTAAATACAGATAACAAATTTACACTGCTGCATGAGAATCTGCAGTGTCTTCACGCTCTTTTTTTTTTATAATTTGTGATTACACAATCCTGTTTCACAGACACTGCATTGTATTGCATCAGTGGACCTTGCAAAGACCTCAAAGGTGATGGCTGCATTTCAGCCACCAGATCCCAGCCATGATGACTGAGGACATGAAAACCTGAAATCCATCGGATGCAAAGACCTGGCATTTAAATGCACTTACTCATCCAAAATCCAGGGCTTTCCTTTTTCTAATTTTCTGCTAACCAGTCACAAACATTAAGGGAACACACAAATGCAGAATCATATTCTACAACTCATACTGACATACTTTTGAGATTCCTCTTAATACAAGCAGCATTGTTGGCATTGTCGCTGAGTGAGCCTCCAAACTTGAAAGTCAGGACCACAATGCGAAAAGGAGATGAAGAAATGCTAGGAAGTAATTTAGTTCTCAGGGAGTAAAGAAAATTACTTTCCATCTGCCAGCTACAGCGGAGATCTGAGCTACAAAATCTATGAGCCCGCAGTGGGCTCTGTGGCTCTCAGGATACCCACTGAAGGATTAATAATTCCCACTCAAGCAAGAGGCCTCCTCCCTCATACTGTTTATCTACTGAAAAGGGAGAAATGGGTGTCATGTTTTCCTTGCAGCAGCAGGAGCAGCTGGCTGGTGGCCAAATGAGTTGTGGGGGCCCCATCCTCACGAGATGAATCAAAGGGAAGCTTGCCTGAGGTCTTGGTCTTCTGCAGCCCGTGTTGTTCAAGGGTCAGGCTCACCTGTACCACGAGAAGGTACTCCCCAGGTCCCTGCGGGTGGACCGACCAGCTTTGAGCCTGCTGCCTGACGGTCAGTTCTCCACCGGCCCTGCCTGCTGGGAAAGTTGTGCTGGGACTCCACCTACAGCTCGTGGTAAGCTGGTGCAGGTGAGCGCCACCCTCTCGGGAGGGATCTCCTCACTTCATTCAACGAAGTAGCCAACTCCGAAAAAGCACACGGGACTGGAAGCCAGCCATGCAGGTCCCTGCGTCATCTTCTCAAGCGTTTCTGACTTACCCTGGCTTCACCTCCTCAGTAACCCAACTCAAGATCTTAGAGCTCTTATTCTGGTTTTGCATCTCAGAACACCTCAAGAAAAACAACCATCAAAGAGGCACTTTTGCTTCTCTCCAGATCTTCCCCTGCTGCCTGGTCTGTCAGAACTCACATTGGCTGCCATGTTCCTTATCAGTGTATTTGCAGAGGAAAAGGCTGCTTTCATTGGGTAGTGGAAGAACCACAGAGGCTAAAAATGGTCAGGAGCTAATTAAAGTAGGTCAAATACTCTGGTTCATGACAAAAACAAGCTGAAGGATCTACAAAAGAGATCTACCCCACTTTTTGGCTGTAATACTGGGAACCTGAGAGTTCCAAATCTAGATAGAAATTTATTGCTTCTACAGAGGTCAAGTTTGATCTTATATGCAGGACTTAAATCCAGAGTTCCCGGTCAGGCTGTTTTCTAGTCATTAGGACTGTTCTGACTTTACAGAAGCTATTCTGTTTTCAGAAGCTGTTGATGCTGTCAGTTTCATTTTTTTCCCCTAAAAAGGGAAAAAAAAAATGTTCTTTTTTCTTATCTAGGTATTTAAGTTGCATTTCTGAAAGAAAAATAAAGTTTGAGAAGAAAATCAAGAATCAGAATTGGATTTTATAGTGCTTTTAAAAAGTCTGTATGAATCCTGTAACTATTTTGCAACCATGTAAAATACTTGCAGTGGAGGCCACTTTTATACACGTTCCGTGTAGAACTGAGCCATTACTTAAACATGTTTAGAAGCTATGGCAATATAAAGCTATATATTCAGCTTGTTTCTTTACTTAGATTCTCATGATGAAGATTCCTTCCAGAAACACCTGGTTCCAAATCTACATTCCCATCTTCATTAGTTCCCTAATTACTTGTCTGAATTGTACTGTTCAGGAAAAAGTTACCTCTGCACACACTGAGGAAGAGTAGAAAAATTAGTAACATCCTCTTTGGGGCGCAGAATACTGTCTGCTGTGCTAGTGCTTCAAATGAGAAAGCTGTTTTTCTGTCTGCTGCAAACTCTTCTCAAAGTCTCCTATGTGTTTCAAAGCTGTGAAATTTTAGGAGGCTCCTAGATAGCTAATGTAAGAGAGGCCATCTCTGTCTTCTACTGCCTCCTCCGTGAGCCAAGGCCGCAATTATTCCTTTATGATTACAGTATTAAATGATTCCTTTTTGGTTAATTACACTTCTTTTCAGTGTCAATGGGAAAAGCCATTCCTTTCCTAACATTAAATCAGCTGGATGAAGTCACGTGGTCAGAAGCCAGAGTCATCTCTGTGAGAAACAAAGGTAGGCTCTTGGAAAACGTAACAGTGGTAGTAGTAATGGTGTTCGCATGTTGTGGTTTTGACTTGGGTGTTGATCCTATAGTGGCATCCCAAGTTGAAACCTTTGTGCAAAAACCACTTCCACGACCCAACCTAACATTGTGTGGACACGCTGCAACCTCAGGACCAAGCTCCTCTATTAATTAATCCTCTCTGGCAGAGGCAAGAGCTTTGTCTTGGCTGTGATATTGTTAGTGCACACACACTCCTGCTTGAATCTGATGCAAGCTTCACAAAGTCATTGAAGACCCATATCGACCTTCTGTTTCACATATGCATGCTGACAGCTGACTGTTGCGTACAGATACCCTCAGCTTCTGAAACCATGGTGCCTACCATAAGCTGATCCCTATTACAGCACTAGATGGGCAGCTTTTCTCATCTGCAATTCCTCCTGTTTTCTGACAGCTTTTAGTAGGTCAGATGCCAGATAATACTTCTGCAATGTGTTCAGGATCACCTTGAAAAAAGCGGTGTCCGCTAGAAGCCAAGCATTCACAGATCTGACCATTACATTTAGATGCCAAAATAGGAGTTGGGCTCCCTAGAAAACACAGACCACCCTGGCAAGAGCTGTGCTTCTAAAACCATTCAGCAGAATCTCAATGGTAAGAGCTCAGCAGTTCTTTGATTGTATTTTACCAGCAGGCACCAGTACAGGCCCTTTGCAGGACGTGTGTAGTGTAAGAGGTAGAAATCAATGGCACAGACATCTCTTTTGATCGGCCATTCCTCAGAGGCTGTCAATGAATGTAAAAACTTTTTCTGTTCAACAAGATGGAATTTAAGCACGATTGGAAAAGTGAAAACGCACAGATACACAGGGAGTAACCCTGTCCAGGTAGGAAACCCCAGAAACTGCAGAATTGTATCTTGAAAATAAATTTACTGATATGCTGG